AAATCCCAAAAAAGTTGGGACAAGTAGCAATTAGTGGCTGGCAAAAGGAAATTGAGCATATAACGAACAGCTGGAAGACCAATTAACACTAATTAGATCAATTGACAACATGACTGGATATAAACAGAGCTTCTCAGAGCGTCAGTGTCTCTCAGAAGCCAAGATGGTAAGAAGATCACCAATTCCACCATTGTTGCGCAGAAAGATAGTGCAGAAATACCAGAATGGTGTTACCCAGCATAAAATAGCAAAGACTTTTAAGTTATCATCATCAACTGTGCATAACATCATCATGTAAGGATGTTAGTTTTCTGTGGCCCGGTGTGTCTGTTTCCCTCGTGCTCCTCATTAGTTCCATTGTTGCCACCTGTGTCTCGTCCCAGCTGTTTGTTATCATGTCTCGTCTTCTCCTTGTATTTAAGTCACCCTATTCTGTCTTGTCCTTTGTCGGGTCGTCTTCGTTGGGTGTGCTTCCTTGAGTCTCCTGAGCCTCTCCTTTCCTTCCTGGTTCCTCGAGTTCCTCGTGTCTCCTGAGTTCCCCGTGCCTCCCTCCTTGTTTATGTAAGTTTTGCTGCCCCGTCAGCATATTTATTTTGTACTTTTTATTTATCATTAAAGACCTATTTTTGTATATCTGCCGAGTTGAGTCCCTGTTCTGCACTCTGGGTTCGCTCCGACCACAAATCCTAACACATCAAAAGATTCAGAGAGTCTGGAACAATCGCTGTGCGTAAGGGTCAAGGCCATAAAACTCTCCTGGATGCTCGTGATCTCCGGGCCCTTAAACGTCACTGCACCTCAAACAGGAATGCCACTGTCAAGGAAATAACAGAATGGGCTCAGGAATACTTCCAGAAAGCATTGTCAGTGAACACAATCCACCGTGCCATCCGCCGTTGCCAGCTGAAACTCTACAGTGCAAAGAGGAAGCCATTTCTAAGCAAGCTCCACAAGCTCAGACGTCTGCACTGGGCCAGGAGTCATTTAAAATGGAGTGTGGCAAAATGGAAGACTGTTCTGTGGTCAGATGAGTCACAATTTGAAGTTCTTTATGGAACACTGGGACGACATGTCATCCGGACCAGAGAGGACAAGGATAGCCCAAGTTGTTATCAACGCTCCGTTCAGAAGTCTGCATCACTGATGGTATGTCTTATAATATATAGTCTATATAAATAAACTGAATTGAATTGTATGGGGTTGCATGAGCGCTTGTGGCATGGGCAGCTTGCATGCCTGGAAAGGCACCATTAATGCAGAGAACTATGTTCAGGTTCTAGAACAACATATGCTCCCATCTAGACGTCATCTCTTTCAGGGAAGACCCTGCATTTTTCAACACGATAATGCCAGACCACATTCTGCAGCAATCACAACATCATGGCTACGTAGGAGAAGGATCCGGGTACTGAAATGGCCAGCCTGCAGTCCAGATCTTTCACCTATAGAGAACATTTGGCGCATCATAAAGAGGAAGGTGCGACAAAGAAGGCCCAAGACGATTGAACAGTTAGAGGCCTGTATTAGACATGAATGGGAGAGCATTCCTATTTCTAAACTTGAGAAACTGGTCTCCTCTGTCCCCAGACGTCTGTTGAGTGTTGTAAGAAGAAGGGGGGATGCCACACAGTGGTATAAATGGACTTGTCCCAACTTTTTGGGGATTTGTTGATGCCATGAAATTTGGAAACAACAGATTTTTCCCTTAAAATGATACATTCTCTCAGTTTAAACTTTTGATCTGTGATTTGTGTTCTATTCTGAATAAAATATTAGATGTTGGCACCTCCACATCATTGCATTCAGTTTTTATTCACAATTTGTTTGGTGTCCCAACTTTTTTGGAATCCGGTTTGTACAAAAATGGTAGTTGGCACATTGTTTTTATTTATTATCCAGTTCAGAAGACAGCTGGACAGACGGTATTTCTATTTCCCCTCTTTGCACTGCAACAGGAGACAACAAAAATTGTTGAACCTCTGTTAATTTTACAGATACTGAGGTAAAACCTGTTGTGATAGCAGCTGACAGTTAATCTTCTTCTTTCAGCTGCTCCCTTCTTCAGGGGTCACCACAGTGAACTAACTCGGCCAAAGACTTGGTGATTGTTTTTACACCAGATGTCCTTCCTGGCTCAACCACAGACCACAGAGCTACCACAGCCCTCTGTGTGGAGCAGAGAGCTGCTAACTAAGGTGCCTGGGGGAACAGATGGTGGGGGTTAAGGGCCTTGCTCAAGGGCCCAGAGTGGGACAAATAATCACATTAAATACTTCAAACACCAACAGATGACATCAGACATCACATTTTAAGAGCAACACATTATTGTTTTAAGGACCAAAATGGCCACAACTTCCATCGTTTCCCAACATGAGATGATCTTAGATTCAAACTCTCACATGAAATGTGGCGGGTGGGTGATAGGCATTCCTTTAAAAACATTTGAACTTTAATTATCCCAGGTGGATGAAAACCAGCACAGCCTGAATGATCTCCCAGTATAAAGCAAAGAGAAAGGGTTTGTGTGTGCGCAGAAGAACACGCTGTTTGATGGATGACACGTTGATTTAATCTGAACATTTCAACACAAACACAGACACTTTCCACTCCCGTATGTCTGCTGACAAACTTCATTATCACATACAGATTAAAGCGTGTTTGTTCTCTCCCTGGCGTTGTGGGAACACAACGCTGGGATGCAAAACCACACCAGCAATTATACTAATCAAACAATGACTTAATCCCCAGGATATAATCTGTTGCAAACTATTCCACTGACTAATAAATCTGTAACAGAGTAACAGCATCCTGTTGGTCTCAGCATGGAGACTCAGTCGGCAGTGAAATGCCACCAGAGCTACTCTCCCTGGGGTGTCACTCTCAGATATTACCACACCTAATTTGAGCTCACTATCTGTCAAATTAACTGAAATGGAGCCATGATCACTTCTCTGAGGCGGCCATCTTGAACGTGGCTGACTCCAACAATGTATCAGTTGTAGACATATGTCCAATAAATACTTTGATAATTTCATTCAAATCTGACTCGTCCAGTTCGTTTGATATTTTGCTAACAAAAAAACACACAGACCCATGAGTAAAATATTTTTGCCCTTTCTTTTTGACAGCTTAGATTTTTGTTCAAAATAAAATTCTACTTGAATAAATTTTCCTTTCTTCAGGTTTAAATTAAAGTAAGCTGCAAAACGTGCAGGTCTCAACAGAGACCACTTCCTGACCCACAACAGGTCCAACACTGTCTTCAAGGAGCGGTTTTAATATTGAAATTAAATTGTGATAGGGTCCATTCAAACAAGTGCATCCATCCATCCACTTATGCATCCATTCATCTATTATCTTTACCCCTTTCTTCCTTTTTGTGTCGCAGGGGTCACTGGTGCCCAAGACCAGCGATCACTGTGTGAGAGGTGGGAGACACCCTGGACATGTCTCCAGTCCATCACAGGGACACAGTGAGACAAATGAAACAAACAACCATTCACTCACACCTAGGGACAATTTCAAGTCACCAATCAGTCTAACATGCATGTTTTTGGTTTGTGGGAGGAAACTGGAATATCTGGAGAAAACCCATGCATGCACGGAGAGAACATTCAAGCTCCATTCAGAAAGGACTGGGGTCGAGATTTGAACCGGCGATCTTCTCGCTGAGAGACAACAGCTCTACTAACTGAGCCAACGTGACAAATGCAACAATTTGAAAATTTTACATGTAATCATTTGGTTTATTTCACGTAAAACTAATGTTTTTGATGCAAGGTATTCAAGGTGGTAGGAGTGACGCTGTGTAGAAGAACAGAGGGAGGTTTTTGTTTTGTTTGTCCGAGGCAGCACAGAGTTGCGGATCCTGGTGAACGGAAAGAGCAATGGCAGAGACAGCGGGTGGCCAACGGTGGCCTTGGCCACCATAGGTTAATCCTTGGCCACCCCGATCATTCGAGGAAACTTTATTTTTAAGCAACATAAAAACTAGAAACTGTAGTTTCCTCAAATGATAAACCTAGTGGGTTTACATAAATATACATGGTGACAGCCATCTTGGATTTTGTTGTGGCATCCCAGTTTTTGAAAGGAGCCTTTTATATGCCTAGTTGCAGCCACACACAAAAAGGAAGTCTGTGCATCACTTATTTTTCAAGTTATCATGCTCACCACATGGACCGATGGATGGTACTTCCACATACTCTTTGGAAGTACCACGATGGTACTTCCAAAGAGCTAAATCATGATTGTTGTGTATTCCTTTGACCAGGGTCTTCAACCTGTGAGGGTCTTCAACCTGTGCCTTTGGGGCCACATGCAGCTCTTGTGGCTCTTTGTGGCTTTGACCAAAGGTAACAAACAGTAAATGTACATCCCATGATTACTTTCTGAGAATGTCATTAAAGGTCACCCAGTGGTTCATGAGATATTTTGCCAACAGACCCAAACTCACATGGCCGTGCGCACAGAGTAACGTAAAAACTATCGAATGAGCCAAACAAAGCGATGAATCGGCGGTTTTGTTCACAGCCTGAGCCTGTTTGGTCTGCGTCCCAGTACCGTGGTGTGAGAGCATCCTTGTTGAAATGCTCGTCACATCCTGACGAGTCAGTGAGCAAGCTCCTCATCAACACCGTGTTTTTTTTTGTTTTCCCACCAACATCAAATCGACACATAGCAGAAAAAACTAGGGTGATTAAAAAAGGTTCCCGTCAGGCAGAAGATGGACAGGATGTGAACCTCAGAGACATCAATGTAACTCCCTGACTGACTCAGAGGAACTCAAACCTCCTGCTTGAATTCAAACACACTTTAATTTGACCCACCTGACTTGGGTCCAGGACTGGAGGGGACCCTGGACCCACACTGCATAACAACCACATGCAAATCAACTGTGTCTTCTTTCAGAACCCAGAGAGCCACTCATTTACTGAAGAACACAAAACAAACACTGATGATTTCACCGAGACAACAGAAGCGAGGCGCTCTTCTCCTACCAGCGGAATGTCCTCGATTGGTGGCGTCATGGTCACTGTCCCCCTGCTCACTGTCTCCATGGCCGCTGTCTTTAGAGCTCACCAGATCAGCCTCCTGAAATGCAGAGCTGAAAACACACCATTAAAACATCTCATCACTGATCCCAGCCTGTCCTTCAACTGATGAAAACTGAAGCATGATGGAGGAACCAGGTCTGAGCACAGATCTGACTCTGGACTTACCTGTTGACCCGTCTCGGCCGGTCCACCAGGTAGCTGAGTTCACTTCGCTGGTGATGTTTGGTCTGAAAGACAGAAAGCTGCTGTTCAGTGTGATGTTCGTGCACCTAACATTAGCAGACAAACATACAGTAGAGTCCCATGACCCTTCTGTGAGTCCTGTGATGCTTATAAATAAGTTTCTTCACAATGAACAAGACTGATGTATTTTGGCCATAGCAGGCTCCTGTAGCTGCCTGCCTTTGTCCACTGCAGACAACAAATAACTATAATATCTAACACTAAACACAAAATTTGAACAAGAAAAGCCTTTTAGTGAGATCTGATCAAAGAAAAATGACTGCAACAGGAAGGAAACGTGACAGCCAAACAGTCAGATCAGACCAGACAGCCGTGACCTAGCATTAGCTTAACACGTCAGCTAACATTAGCTTAACACGTCAGCTAACGTTAGCTTCACTGACATATATACGGTAGATGCCTCGTTGAGCAGGCTGGCCTGTTGCAGCGGTACGTCAGAGCATCCACCATTTTGGATGTGGCAGATCTGCCGGTCAACTAATACGAGGAAATGGACTGAACTTCATAAAGCTCCGTTCTACAAAGTGTTTTAATATGATGCCTGTCATTCACACACAATAATATTTTTGGAAAACAAACAAGCACCATACACGACATTAGTAACTTTTAACATCCATCCATTATCTTTACCCGCTTATTCCATTTTGGGTCACGGGGGTCGCCGGTGCCCATGTCCGGCAATCACTGTGCGAGGGGCGGGGTACACCCTGGACGGGTCACAAGTCCATCACAGGGCCACATAGAGACAAACAACAATTCACTTACTCACTCACACCTAGGGACAATTTAGAGTTACCAATCAGCCTAACATGCATGTTTTTGGTCTGTGGGAGGAAACCGGAGCACCCGGAGAAAATCCACGCATGCACGGAGAGAACATGCAAACTCCACCCAAAAAGGCCCCCGGACCGGGGTTTGAACCAAGGACCTGCTTGCTGAGAGGCAGCAGCTCTACCAGTTGCGACACTGTGCTGCCCTAACTTTTAACATGATTATTTAAAATGTTTACTCCTTAGATATTTATGTTATAGATAAGCACTAAACTAAACCAATGTATTATTTTCAGTGTTTACAACTACTACTAACAGGCTGCTGTTGTTACACTGTATTGCTCTGTATTATAAGTGTTTAGTGTACATCTTAGATCCTTATTTACTGTTTCTTGTTGTACTTTATATTTTGCTATTTTTGAATGGAACTGGGACCCTGTGTACATAATTTCATTCCACCTAATGTATCACATGTGATGGAAACAACAATAAACTTGATTTGAACTTGAACTACTTGAACTTGAACTACTAACTCCACCCAGAATACACCCCGGACAGCAGTCCTTCCCTAGATTTTATCTTTGAATGATACTCCTATTGAGTTTGTCGATTCTCACAAAAATTTGGGTATCTTGGTCAACTCGCATCTCTCTTTTAAGCTTCACGTGGAAAACTTGGTGAAGAAACTGAAAGTTAAATTGGGTTTCTAAAAAAATTAAGTCTGGTCCTGTAAGGATGGTACTTTTTGCTGGTTCTGTTTGTGTCTGTGTTTCCCTAGTGTTTCCTCGTCAGTTTAATTGGTGCCACCTTTGTCTCGTCACAGCTGTTGTAATCACGTCTTGTCTTGTCCTTGTATATAAGCCTCCTGTTCTGTGTTGTTCCTCGTCGGGTCGTATTCGTTGGGTCTCTGTGTTCTCCTGCGTTCTCCTGCGTCTCCCCTGAGCTCTCCTGAGTCCTCCCTGAGTTTCCCTCTGAGCCTTCCGGTTTCATGTAAGTTTTGCTGCCACGTCAGCTGTTTATTTTGTTCCTTATTCACTATTAAAATACTTATTTTTGTAATCTGCCAAGTTGAGTCCTGTCTGCACTACTGGGTTTGTTCCTGTCCACCAAATCCTGACAGGTCCTCTGGACAATCAAAAAGCAAAACAAAGCAAAACAAAAAAAAATGTGGAAACGTTTTGTCTTTCATCCGTCTGAGGTGCTGTATTCAGCTCAGTCTTATAAATAGCACCTTCTCATAGTGGATCACAGCAATCAGGTGAAAAGAAGGAACCCAGACCCAGACCAGTGGTCATTCCGTATGTTGCGGGAGCTTCAGAGAAACTGACGTTTATTTTCTAAACACAACGTCCCAGTGGCTTTTAAACCCCAAAATGCATTACAGCTGGTTCATCCCAAAGATCCAGTCCCCCGGCACAAACAGAGTAATATTGTGTATGCTGTTCAGTGTCAGGAGGGCTGTGATCAGTCTTACACCGGGGAAACTAAACAGCCACTGGCCAAAAGGATGGCCCAGCACAGAAGACCAACATGAGCAGGCCAGGACTCTGCGCTCTACACTCAATTCAATTCAATTCAATTCAGTTTATTTATATAGCACCAAATCACAACAAAGTTGTCTCAGGGCACTTTACAGGAACATTCACATACATAAAAGTCAATTAGTAAAGTCCTCTATCTAAGGAATCCAGCAGACAATTTGAATCTTGGCTTTGTTGCAGTCTCCCATCCTGAGCAAGCACAGTGGCAACAGTGGAAAGGAAAAACTCCCTTTTAAAAGGAAGAAACCTCCAGCAGAACCAGGCTCAGGACAAGCGGCCATCTGCTTTGACCGGCTGATTTGAGAGGACAGGAAGGAGAGACAGACAAACATAGAATGGTAGGTCCAGGTATAGGTCCAGGTGTATCTGAAAGAAAAAAAAACACGTTAAGGATAGAAAAACTAATTACAAATAGTAAACGGGTTGAGCAGAGTAAGTGAAGACAGTAGCAGAGTGAAAATTGTGGTCAGTTTGTCCTCCAGCAGTCTAAGCCTATAGCAGCATAACTAAGGGACAGCTCAGGAAACCTAAGCCGACCCTAACTACAGGATTTAGCAAAAAGGAACGTCTTAAACCCAGTTTTAAAACTAGATAATGTGTCAGCCTCACGAACAGAGATTGGAAGTTGGTTCCACAAGAGAGGAGCCTGATAACTGAGAGATCTTCCTCCCATTCTGTTTTTGTAAATTCTAGGAACCACACGTAAACCTGCAGCCTGAGAGTGAAGTGCTCTGTTAGGAAAATATGGAACAATAAGATCTGTAATATAAGATGGAGCTAGGTTGTTGAGAGCTTTGTAGGTTAGAAGTAGGCTTTTGAATTCAATTCTGGATTTGACAGGGAGCCAATGAAGAGAAGCTAAAACTGGAGAAATATGATCTCGCCTACTAACTCCAGTTAAGATTCTGGCAGCAGCATTTTGGATCAACTGAAGACGTTTTAAGGAAGTATTTGGACACCCAGATAATAAACTATCGCAATAATCCAGTCTAGACGTGATAAATGCATGGACCAGTTTTTCTGCATCATTTTTAGATAAGATGTTTCTAATTATAGTGATATTACGCAGGTGGAAGAAGGCAGTTCTAGTAACGTTTTTAATGTGGGGGATAAAAGACATATCCTGATCAAAAATAACACCAAGATTTTTAACATTAGAGCTGGAGGACAGATTAATGCCATCTCAGGAGGGAGAAAGACTGAAAAATTCATTCCTAAGGTGCTCAGTCCAAAAACCAAAACCTCAGTCTAGTCTGTGTTCAACAGGAGAAAATTAAGGGTCATCCAGGTTTTTATGTCTTTAAGACATGCTTGTAGTCTAAGTAGCTGATTGGATTCATAGGCTTTAATGGACAAATATAATTGTGTCATCAGCAAAACAATGAAAATTTATCCCATGCTGTTTAATAATTTTACCTAATGGAAGCATATATAAAGTAAAGAGTATCGGCCCAAGCACTGAGCCCTGAGGATGACTAACTTTGGTGTATGAAGAAGATTTATTATTTACATTTACAAACTGGAATCTATCAGATAAATATAATTTAAACCATTTTAGAGCTGTTCCTGTAATCCCAATATCATATTCAAGACTCTGTAGTAAAATATTATGATCAACTGTATCAAATGCAGCACTGAGGTCTAACAGGACCAGTATAGACACAAGTCCATTGTTTGAGGCCATGAAAATATCATTAGTGACTTTTACTAGTGCTGTTTCTGTACTATGATGAGCTCTAAACCCTGACTGAAACTTTTCAAACAGATTATTTCTTTGTAGATGTTCACGCAACTGACCTGCAGCTATTTTATCTAGAATTTTTGAGATGAAAGTTAGATTAGATATGGATCTATAGTTGGCCAGAATTTCTGAATCAAGGTCAGACTTCTTAAGTAAAGGTTTAATTACAGCAACCTTAAAGCTCTGTGGTACATAACCATTCAATAAAGACAAATTAAATAGTTCCAAAATGTGGACATTAATTAGGGGAAATACCTCTTTAAACAGTCTGGTTGGGATGGGATCTAGCAGACATGTGGATGGTTTGGATGAGGTTATTATTTTTGACAATTCAGAGAGCTCAACAGGACAAAAACTGTCCAAACATAAATCAGGCTCTAGTGAAATGTTTAAAGTTGCCTCATTTGACAGTTGACTAGAGATAGTAGAAGGAAGGATGGTTTGAATTTTCTCTCTAATTGAAACAATTTTATTTATAAAGAATCTCATGAAGTCATCACTACTTATAGTTGTAGGGATACATGGTTCAACAGAAATGGGACTTTTAATTAGTCTAGCAATAGTACTAAACAGAGGGTTATTTTTATTCTCCTCTATTAAAGATGAGTAATATAAAGTTCTAGTGTTAAGGAGAGCTTTTTTATATGTTAACAGACTATCTTTCCAAGTTAAATAAAATTCTTCAACATTAGTAGAGCGCCATTTTCTCTCCTGGTTTCTAGATGCCTGGTTTAAAGAACATAACTCAGAATTGAACCAAGGAGCCTGTTTCCTCTGATTGATTACTTTCTTTTTCAGTGGAGCAATTTTATCAAGTGAAGTTTGCATTGAAGTTGTAAAATGATCAACTAGATGATCTAAGTCACTGTTCTCTGATGCATTACTCTGCAAGACAGAGAAAACATTGATGGAAGAGATTTTTTAAATTTGGT